AAAATAAATATCGTTAAAAGTAATGGATTAATTTTTTGTTGAAAATGTCGTTTTTTAAGATGGCAGGCAAGTGTAAATAAATACATTTACTATGAGTATAAAATACTAAAGTAAGGCTATTATTACTTTCATATAGCAAAAAAGAGAATAAAAAACACCGCTATAAAAACATTGTGCCAACGTTTAATTAGATTAAAATATTACTGAAATTGAATATCGAATTAAAAACCATCCTACCAACATTTAAAAGAATTAGAATATTATTAATTCAAATACTTTAAAATACGTTATATAAAATATAATTAACATTTAAAACATATGTGACAATAATTATCTCAGCAATTTTTGAAAATAGTGTATTAATTTTTTAACACAAAATTGAAGTATACAATATAAAATAAAAGAAAAATATGTACTTACATTTTTTTGAGTAATTTAACCTCTTGTTTATTGATAAGTACCACACAAAAAAATCGAAATCATAATTGAATCGGATCTTTTAACCATCTTCATCTGTTATCCAAATATCTCGCACTTCATTGAAGAAGCAATTAGCGAGGTTTCCTCAAAAATTTTAAATAAATTTCCTCTGACGCTTATTAACAATTTTAAAATAAATCTTTGATTAGGAAAGACAGGTTGGCCAAAATAAGGTCTCAAAGGGCAATTTTTTATTCCAATACCAATAATTCTTGGTAATTACCAATAACAACATTCGTCTTCGAAACGGAGATATCCATTCCATTTGAAATCTGAGGAATTCGAAGAGATGAATAAAAAATTTTAAAATGGCGCGGTAATGCACAAATATTCAGTAACCATCAGGGAGCTGATTACATCACGCATAGAATTAAAATTATTTAAATAATCATTCATAATAAAATCATTTTTTAAAACAAATGCAAAATTAAATTTGTATTTTAATATTAACAGCCATAAATAATGTTTAAAACATTAGATTAAATTTATAGATATTAATAAACCAATTACTTTTAAGTAAGGTGACGTCATTGATTACATCATCCACAACATATAAAATTATATAAAATATTATAAACAACAAATTTTTATTTCAATAAAAATGTAAAATTAAATTGATTTTTAATATTTAGAAGCCATAATAATATTTAAAACACGGAAGTATGCATAATAAAACGCATTATTTTTTTAATAAATGACAACAAAGTATCGGTTACCATAAATAATTTATCCAGCAATAGGTTTACCATAAGTTGTATTACTCTCCAAAGGAAAAATCACCAAAAAATCGCCAAAATCCGTGCAACCGTCTACCAAAGTAGCACCTGTAACTCAGCTGACGTAGATTAACCAAACTGCAAAATACGCAAGCAGAAAATTTCAGTCACAAATTCAAATGCAAAGACCAACAAAGTCATTCCTAAAGTAAGGTAACTGCATCTTTTGCTTTCGAAAGACAGTAAGACAATTTATTTTAAAATGAATCAAACAAATATGTTATTTGTTAATATGAAAATTTCTTATCCATGCTCAAAGATACCTTCATTAAAATTACCTTCATTGCGGTCATTTCATTAATACCTTCTTTGCGGTCGTTAAAAATTAAGATCCGTAATTCTAGACAGACTGGTAAAATTACGTTAACCAAATTTTGCCATGTTTTTAAATCACATCAAAGTTTTCTACTTTGGGGACTAGTAGCAAATAAGGATAAGAACACGCTTGAAATTGAATTTACTTTTAAATATTTTCATAGAAATCTTAATTAATCACGTTAGTAGACGCTTCATATATGTTCTTCTAAATTGCAGGTGCACTGCGGGGGTGAGGGTGGGGGAGAATGGGATAGTTGTATATTCCGTTCTGCTGGACCGATTGACGAAGTTCAAATTGCGTTTTCCATGTCTCAAAACGCGACTTAAGCTATATATTAGATTTATATATAGCATTGTTCTACATATGTATTTTGACACAAAATCTGACTTTTCTTGAAATAACATACCAATTTTTTCCGTATTTCGATTCTACGACTCAAATTACGCCTAGATATTAAATTTTGTAACTTTTGGGGAGAAAGTTATGTAGAAATTTAAAAATTTATCTTAGCGCTTTTTTTTTTTTTTTTTTTTTTTTTTTACTTTGCGCCAAGAAAAATTTACTTGGCGAACTTCTTACTTTATAGCAACCTTTTCTTTTTATTGTCCACGAGCGAAAAAATGTCATCGTTCGTACTTTAAAGTAATTTTAACAAAGTGCGTAAAACCACATTTTTGTTGTTATTGCTTATAATAAATACGCCAAATTTCAAAACGAGTCAAAATGTAAATTCACGTATATTTTAGGAAATTTTGAATAAAAATATCTGATTTTTTCCAGGTATGCTTAGAAATACATCTACTTTAAGATCATGGCAAAACTTTTATAGGTCATAATTAATTATTTTTTCGAAAAATTTATAAAGATTATCTAAAATATAAATTATAAAAATAATAATAAAAGATGGCGAATTTATTTGGAATGAGCCTAAATTTAGAATGTGATAGAAATAATCAAATAAGTTTAATAAATAAGACATATTAATAAATATATATCAAATTCAATTAACACTGAGGAGTTAAACGTTTGAGAGCTAGTTTTTTAAAAACTACTCGTGCGAGTTTTACAGAACTTGCCAGTTTGACATTATTTGAGTCGTGGATTCGAAATATGGAAAAACATTGCATGCCATATCAGAAAAAGTTCGGTTTTGTGTCAAAATACATATATTAGAACAATGCTATATATAAATTTAATACATATCCTAATTCGCACTTTCCAGACATGAAAAATGCAAGTTGAATTTCGTCAAACGGTCCAGTAGAACGGGACATACAGAACTGTCCCCCCACTTTTTTTTTCGCTGTGTACGTAGCATTCCAAGGATATGCTCAAATAACAAGTTACAATCTCTGTCTACTGTAAAACCAAAAGCGCGAATTTGTACTTGAAAAAATATCTCGTACTCTCAAGTAGTACGGTCTGTTAACATCTCAGTTCGCACTAGCACGAAATGTAAGCAATATCAGAAAACTCTACAGGTTTTGTTTGGTTACTGTGAATATGAGAGAAACTGTAAGCATCACCAGTCTGTTTCTCAGTTTCGCGAGTACTGTTTTAGTTCATAATTCAGAAGAATATAAGTGCAACAGATAATTATAATAATTTCCCCTACTAATCTTTAATATTATTTCTCGATCACCTTTAAAATTATTCATATTAGCATCATTAAATTATTACTATTAAACTGCTCTGGCTCTTCCTTACTTAATATAATGCTCAGGTAAATAATACATAATTACACGGGTAAATCAGATTTAATGTTCCAACCTAGAATTTACAGCAATGTGTGTGGAACCTTGAGAACTGGTAAGCGAAAAATCACTTAGTTCAGAAAGATAGAAACGTAAACTCACGAACGGTTAATTACCCTTTATTGCTCAAAATAAAGTTCACAGTCGGTCCTCTCTCAGGACGTACAGAAAAGCCTCTACTTGGGCTCGAACGTAATACTAAGAAATAAATCTTAACCAAACTAAAACGAGATAGCCGAAGCTATCAAAATTCTATAGTAGTTGGCCCCTTAACGCTAACTAAACTATGAAGCTATCAAGAGCCTGAAATAGGACCGAGCGTAGAAATAGCTTAGAGAGAGTGTAGCCTAAAAGGCGAACACACGCTGGTCAGAATCTCTGGCTGTCTAACGAAGTTAGTAGAACTTCATATTTAAATATATTCTCTTCTTTCATTTGCATTTAACCGCGATTCTGAAAACACATTCTGTCAGGAAATTTGTAAGCTGAAATTAGAAGCGACAGGGAAGTGGCTTTAACTAAAATTTAACTCTTAAAATCTTAGGATAAACCATACTCCCTGATTATTTTTGTTCCCAATAAATATAATTAATTACCTAATTTTTAACCCTTATGTCCATTGAAATATTCATGTGGAGAAATGCACGTATATCGCTCTTCCTGCCCTTTAAGGTGTGGTATTTCTTGGTGGCCCAACTTGTCAGCAATTGTGGTAGTGACTGCTACGAAATTTGAATTTACACAGACACGTAAGAAGGCTTTAAAGCCCTTTTTTTTATTTAACTTTTAAAATAACAGCTGCGTCCACTTGACGCTCACAAACTACGCCGAACCAGCGGTTTAACTGAAACAGAATGTAAAACTGAAAAATAATGACTAGATGAATAAATAACGAGATCACTATCCACGAGGCTCTGAGATCTTAAACTAACCTAACCGCGTTCTACAATACCGCTGAGATTCAACGAGCTTACTAATTAAGCAGTTAAAAGATTTAGCAAAAACTGCCGAGATAGGCACACAAGCCGAAACACGCTGTTCTTAAATTTCTACCTAGCAACCTTCACGTTCGCGATTCAAGAAGCACACCTACAAACTCGTTTTCTGAACAATATTTTGACTCTAATATTTTTGTTTATATTTTTTTCTAACTGCAGCTTCTGAGTAATATTGCACAAGCTTCAAGCAGATGTAATCGTTTTCTTTATAGGTTTTTTTATTCATTATCTATTCATATTATTATTATCTATGTTTTGTAACAGTTTATGTTTCAGAGAATGGCAACATACTTTGATGTTGTTCTTTTTAGAGAGTTAATGTAACTTTTGTTTTCTTCATTTTGAGAGTATGAGTAAAGGAATTATTTAATTATTGTAGAGTAATAAATAACTAAAGAGATATAGATAATTATTTCCGAGTAATAAATAGTTCTTGAGGTAACAAATTTGGTGAGAATTTTTGAACATTTGGCGTCCGCTGACTGGACTGTTATCTGTAAGTAGAATTCTTTCGTTTATTTTATAATGGATGTTTTGAAGTGCAAACGATCTCAATTTAGGAGATTAGGAGATTGTTTACAAAAGCTTTAAATGATTTTGAGAAGAATGAAATGATTTATCTTTAGACGGAAAAATTTCGAAACTTAAATTAGTTGAGGACAAAGCAAAACCTATGATTGAAATAGAACAGACTTATAGAGAAGAATTGATTAAAATTGAAAAAGATGAAACTGTGATAAATAACGAGTTTGATGAGTCGAAATGCTATATTGATAAGTGGAGAATGGTAGAAAGTAAATTAGTTTCGCTTTTAGCTGAAAAGGAAAACGGTTCTGTTGTTAATGAAAGCTTAACTCAAAATGCTACTATTCGTTATCCTAAGCTTAAACTTCCGATTTTTGATGGGAATATTAAAAGCTGGTTAGGATTTTGGGGCCAGTTTAAAAAGATCGATAATGATCCCAATTTAGATGATCATGATAAATTTGCATATTTATTGCAGTCTATGGAAAAAGGGTCATCTGCTGAAGAGTTAATCAAAAGCTTTCCGCCCGGTGGCGAAAGTTATAGTAAAGCTTTAGAACAACTACAATCGCGTTTTGGGAAAGAAGACCTTCTTATAGAAGTCTATGTTAGAGATCTACTTTCGTTAGTATTATTAAAAAACTCTCAGCAGAAATTTTCATTACGAAAACTCTATGATAACTTAGAATCGAAAACTAAGAGCGTTAGAAGTTCTGGGTGTTGCTAGAGATAAATATGCGGCGATGTTATATCCTCTAGTCGAATCGTCATTGCCGGATGATACATTAAGAGCATGGCAAAAGATTCCGAGTTATTAATCGCAGTCAGAGAGAATCTGAAAGTAGTGAGCAAAAAGAGAAAAATGCGTCAACACATCGCATGGATTTAGATGGTTTGCTTTCATTTTTGCTCGATGAAATTGAAGGTGAAGAGAGAGTATCTATAGCTACTCAGTGCTTTACTAAATATCAGACACCTAAGCCTGGGAATGCTAAATACTTTGGTTTCAAAAACCGTGGAGAATTTTCCAAAACACCTTCTGCTTCTACTCTAATAGCAACATCTGAACAAAATGCAACTGGATGTATTTTTTGTGCTGGAAATCATGCATCTGGTGATTGCGTTAAAGCAAGAAAGAAAGAAAGATGACGTCTGAGGAAAGGCAAAAAAGCAGTTCTAAATAGTCGCAGTTGCTTTTTATGTTTAGACAGAAAACATGTAATAGCTAAATGTAAAAAAAACGAACATCGTGTGTGATGATTTGTGGGAAGAAACACCACATACTTTTATGTAGAAATATCCAAGCTGAATCAAAATCTCCAGTTCCTGTTAGCACGAATAAGGATGAAAATACGGATGCAGTACCTGAACGAGATGAAACCCTCGCCAATTTGGCGAGAACAACAAATGTGTTTTTGCAAACTTTAACGGTTACATTGAAAGGGCGAGATAGAAAGCGCCAGGCCCGTGCTATTATCGATTCAGCTTCACAAAGATCTTATATTTTAAAAAGCACTGCAGATGAAATGAAATTTGAAATTTGAGAGTACATCTAAAGAAAGATTGAGCCATTCATTATTTGGCGGGTCATGTACTGATGTCATAAACCACGATGTTTTTACAGTGTTCTTGTCTAAAACGGATGGAACTTATCATTGTAACTTCAAAGCTCTTAGCCAAGATATTATTTGTGGAAGTATACCACCAGTTGCTAATGGCGAGTGGATTCAAGAGCTTAAAGAGAACAGGAATGATTTTGGAACGATGTGGAGATTACCTTTGCCTTAATATTACTAACATCACCTACAATCTACCAGAAATTTTGTCTAAAAGAGAGATTTTAGCTACTACACACAAAATATTCGACCCTTTAGGAAAAGCTTGCCCCGTAACTCTTGTCCCGAAACTTTTACTTCAGCACCTATGGGAAGTTAAGTTATCTTGGGACCAAGAAGTTGATTCAAATTCAAAATCACAAGCTTGTAAATGGTTGAATGATTTGCAGTGTCTGGAAAGAATGAGAATACCAAGATGGTTAAACTGTGATCGTGAGATTGAAAAATATCTCACTTCATTTCTTCAGTGATGCGAGTAAACTTGCATATTCAGCTGTGGTCTTTGTTCGAGTACAAACAAGAGATTCGGTTCAAGTTCATTTGGTGCAAGCTAAAGCGAGAGTTGCACCCAGCGGAAGGAAAAAGACAACAATAGCTCGATTGGAACTTCTTGGAGCTACAATATGTGCACGTTTAGCATCCAGCATAATACCTGAATTTCAAGCTGATGATATTTATTTTTGGACAGATTCGTTTACTGTGCTAGCTTGGATACAGAGGAAATGAAGTATGGGACGTATTTGTTCACAACAGAATTAAGGAAATAAAGCGACTGACTTCTATTGAATCTTGGAGGCACGTACCAGGATCACTGAATCCTGCTGATTTGCCCAGTAGAGGATGCTCTGCTTCTTATTTAATTAAATCTAGATGGTGGGAAGGCCCTAAATGGCTATATTTATCACCAGAAAAATGGCCAAAAGAAGATTTTAGTGCTGATGAAGAAGAAATAGCTCTTGAGAAAAAGAAAAGGATTATTTCGTCCTTAATAAATCTTAATGCTAGTGAAATAGTTGCTACTAGATTCTCAAGTTATGGTAAGACAATCAGACTGGTAGCGTGGATGTGTCGTTTTGTTTACAAAACAACTGTAAACATCAAAACAAGAAAAAGGATGAACTTACTGTATCTGAGTTAAATGAAGCTGAGAATATCTTGATTCGTTTAATACAAAATGAGTCCTTTAATGGAATAGAAGATAAACGGATTTTAAGTCTTAATCCATTCATTGATTGTGGTTATCATCAGAACTAAAACAGCGATATTTCAAAGAGAAGATACATCTGAGTTCAGAACTCCTGATATTTTGCCAAGTGATCATCCTCTTATAAGAAGTGCAAAATGGAGAAGTCATAAGAGCTGTACAAAATCTTTATCCTTTGGAATTATCGACTGCCGAGGAACTTCCATCGAAATTCAGCGGAAGTCAAACATGCGAAAATATTTCGGTAGAGCAAACTCCAATTGATGATGTACCTGTAGAAACAAACAGAATAATTCATACCCATTTAAAATCGGCCACGATAACCAAATCAGGAAGGACAATTAGAGTTCCTCATCGATTGGACTTGTGAGAATAATGTTTAATTTTTTATTATTTTGCAATACTCAATCCCGAATTTCATATTGCAAGGTGGGAGGATGAACAATATTTTGACTCTAATATTTTTGTTTATATTTTTTTCTAACTGCTTCTGAGTAATATTGCACAAGCTTCAAGCAGATGTAATCGTTTTCTTTATAGGTTTTTTTATTCATTATCTATTCATATTATTATTATCTATGTTTTGTAACAGTTTATGTTTCAGAGAATGGCAACATACTTTGATGTTGTTCTTTTTAGAGAGTTAATGTAACTTTTGTTTTCCTCATTTTGAGAGTATGAGTAAAGGAATTATTTAATTATTGTAGAGTCATAAATAACTAAAGAGATATAGATAGTTATTTCCGAGTAATAAATAGTTCTTGAGGTAACAAATTTGACAGAATTTTAAATTTTGTGAGAATTTTTAAATAATGACTAGATGAATAAATAACGAGATCACGATCCACGAGTCTCTGAGATCTTAAACTAACCTAACCGCGTTCTACAATACCGCTGAGATTCAACGAGCTTACTAATTAAGCAGTTAAAAGATTTAGCAAAAACTGCCGAGATAGGCACGCAAGCCGAAACACGCGGTTCTTAAATTTCTACCTAGCAACCTTCACGTTCGCGATTCAAGAAGCACACCTACAAACTCGTTTTCCTTCTATTTAAACGCAACTTACTTCTGCTAAATTTGAATATACTGCGTGCTCTACTACAATTTACATATTCTAGCATTGGCAATTCTAGGGGAAATTAAAGGCTTGACAAGAAAGATAGCTTAGACTTAAAATAAATGTTTGTTAAAATAAATATAAACCTTACAAAGGAATGGAAACTCGAAGTCTATAACCTTTTGCAATTTCTGCTGTGTCTTGGCAACGGAGTCAGAGTGAAGATGGCAGCCTTTCAATTGCATCTTCGTTTTTTCAAAAAGGTAGAAATCAGCTGGAGCTAAATTTGGCGAGTACTTCAGTTGCGGAAACGATTATGTGTTATTGATGACAAGAAAATGCTCTGTGAGAAGTTCTCCTTGACAGAGTATATTGTCGTCATGGAAAATCCAATGCATATGTCGCATATTCGAGACATTAGGATTATCTCTTCCGATATAATAACACTATCTGCAATATTTTTTATCATTCTTCGCCGTTTGGCATGCAAAGATTCTTAATTCTTTCCACAATTTCGAGAGTTATGCTAATGGAATTTCTTCCAGATCATTCCATGTCTTCAAGGGAATTTTCTTTCTTTGAAGCACCTGCATAATTTAAAACGTTGTGAACGATTCATTACTCAAATATGTACAATAACTCTGCAGCCCATTTTCTCAGTTTAACTTAGAATTTCCCGCTCATTCGAGTTTCCACCTTTCCAACCATAATATAGTCACAGACTATCAGATACAAGTAATCACAAAAATACTACTATAATAAGTCTTGATGTTAACACAGCTTTGTTTCTTGCTCCACTGCCTTATTAAGATTGAAAGTCACGATTAGTTTTAGGGCAATTCCGTGCTGTTATTTATTGGCAAGCTAGGGAACTGACTTCGGTATCAGCGAAATTTCAGAATCCAAATTCGCCCTTAAAAATGCAGTGTTATCTTAAGTATGAAATTATATCTTATAATGAAAAGGTACTCTACTTTTAAATTTCAGCGGAGTAAAAACTTTTTTAGCGTTAGTATTTAAAATTTTCTTCTAAAATTCCGTTTTTTAAAAGCCTTATTCGATCATAAAACTTAATCTACTTATTGTGTGTTAAAACTGATGTGATATTTTTATAATTTATATAGCCGCAAATTATATTTAATTTTTTGCAAGCATCGGCGCTATTATAACATTGAAAAAGTTACATCCGTGCATGATATCACGGACAGGCTCGAAACAAATCATCAGATTTAATCTTTGGCTAATTACGTTTTCCTTTCAAACAGTTGTTTCTGACGAAGTAATAATTCATCTGCCATTATGACCTGAATAAAATAAAGCTAATTTTTCGTATCCTAGTCAAGCTGCCATCTTTAATAAAAGAAATTAATTAAAACGAAAGCTGTTCAGCTTATTAAAATCAGGAGATGAAGCACTAAGCGTTATTTCAAACACTCCTTAATTAATTTTAGATGTACCTAATTAAAAATTTTTTGAAGAGAATTTGAACAGTACATCGAAAGATTTAAGACACGTTTCTAGTTTTATTTCCTTCTTTATTAAAAATGCTGTATTTCTTTTAATTCCATAGTCATAAAATTTCATAGATATTCTAATCCAGTGAAAGTTTCGTTTCACTGGTCATGGTTCACCAAAAGTATTATCAAAAGGTTTTATTATAAATTAAAATGTTTCTCTGATTTTTCCAATTAAAATACTTGCATTTATGCAAGCAATAATTTAATCTCTTCTCACATTTAGAATATGCTCTTCTAAATGTTCTAATATGTTCGATTAGTTTGTCATTTGCTATCATGACAGATAAATTTTCAGGAAATCTTTGATTTTTTATTAAGGTTTCTCGTTTTTA